TCCGGCCGGCCGGCCGAACCGGACGGACCGGTTCCGACCGGCCGTCGTTTCCGGACGGCTTTCTTGCCGTCCGGCCGGCCGGTTCGGACAGCAACGGTCCGTCCGGCCGTGCTTTCCGGCCGGTTTACTTGTCGTCCGGCCGGCCGGTCCGGACGGCTTTTAGTCCGTCCGGTTCCGGCGTCCGGACGGCTTTTAGCCCGTCCGGAACCGGCGACCGTACACGTATTTTTTCGTACCTCCGAATTTGACGACATTTCACCGTACACTTTCCTCTGAGATGTTTAGAAAAAATGAGAAGGGCAAAATTGTCCAAGAGAGGCGGTGACTAGTAATATGGGGGGCGGTGAATAGTAACACCCTAACATTATAGCTGAATCGGCGTCCACCACTAGAAACTTGACCAACTTGGACTGGTCAACCGTGATATTGGGTGGATAATTCAGATTATAAAAAATTAAAATAAATAATCTAATGGATTATATCGGTGGACACGTGCAGGTCAAAGCTTGGTAACACAGACAAAATAGTTGGTATGGAGCAATGATTTATTTGCACTCTGGTGAGTGGAAAGTTACTGCAACTCTGAGTAAACACAGAGAGAACAACAGCGACACAGATAAATTAAAATAAAATAAAATTAAAACATTTTGCGATTCTATTTCCATTTCTCCATTTCTTTCTGCAATTCGATCAATGCTGATATCAGCAAAAGCACCGCCGCCTTCATCCCCGCTTTCGATCGGTATTCTTCGTTCCTCTCTTCTCGATCTATTATTCATTTCTTTTCAATAGCTTTCAATTCGTCCCTGTTTTCATTCTATTTATATATCTGCTTCGGATTTAACTATATGACGAAGAACTTTTATCGTATGTCGTGTTCGTTCTGTCTACTCGTCTGTTTGTGTAATAACATCCCCCAGTAGAGCTCAGGTATGATTGTGCGCTGTTCAATTCTAGCTTATCTTTGTGACATGAAGGGATTTGGGATGTACTAATGTTTCGACAGCTGATGAATCTTTGCCCTCCCCTATATCTTTGTTTGGAGAAACTCTGTCAAGTACCCAAATCTTTTGCATATATAGCCAAGAACCTCGGGTTTTCCTGATTCAAGAGTACATGGAAAAAATTAAGGATGTATACAATCTCAAATTCTTGGGTGAATGGCATGGCAGTCATGTTATTCCCCTATTACTTGTGAATACACTAATATTTGCTGCAATAAAAGGATGCTTTTGGTGACTTTCAAAATCAAAATCTGTATGTCAACTCTTGTGTGATATAGTTTTAGAATAAAATGGAGAAAAAGAGAGGAAAAGTATATTACTAGGAAAACACAAGGAAAGGCGGTGATTTCCTAGGTGAGATAAGGGCTTCGAGATAGGCAAATGCAAACTATTATCAAAACATCGTTGGCAACACAACTTTTTCCCCTCATTTATGTCTTTTTGAAACTTCAAGTTGCAGTTGAGGCATATCACATGTCTTGCTCTATATGCTGTTAGTTATACAGTTTGATATCTGTTGTATTTTTCATATCACCAGAAAAACATTGACGGTTTCATGTTCCCAATATTGAATTTCCTGTTAGGTGGCTCGGGCCCTCACTGCGTTAAATGTCATGTGGAGCCCCTTATTTGCTCAACCTCATATGGGTACTCTGGAAGTTGGATTAAGGCACCATTTGAGCTTCATGGAGTTTTTCTGTATCATGGCTTGAGGTACAATCTGTTACACTTTACTGATTTCCATGTTGTCATCATCATCATCTCCTTGTTTCTTGTTTTTGCTTTGGACATTCAATGCCAACCGTGTTACATATGATACTTTCTTCCTGAAATAAGGTTGCGTTAGGATTAAAGGATTTATAATAATAAAGGATTTTAAATGAAAAAGTTTCAAATTCTTAGAATTTTAATTTTCAAATATAATATTTCTTGTTTGGATTTGGATGGATATGTGGAAAGGATTACAAATCCATTGACAGAGGGGCTGGCTAAATAATGGTGCAGTCCTTGCAGTGTGGGATACAAAGTGGATTTCAAATGAATAGGTTTGAGGAGTTGCGTGGAATCCCCCAAATTACTAATTGAAATCCGTTGGGCTTTTTAGGGTGAATTTGAAGTCGTGTGAGGATTTAAAATTGGAATTTCATAGATCCAAATCCCTCAATACTAACACACCCTAAAAGAACTCACTCTCTCTTCCTTTCTCTTAGTAAGGAGAAAAAGAAGTTTCAAGGTAAAAATACGATACTATAAATGAAGTCTTCTGGTGAGAATGGCGATAATAATGTAGGAAGCCATTTGAGTGACGACATTTTATGAGAAAACTCTCTTTTGCGAATAGTGAATAAACCAAAAACAAGATATATATGTCAGTATGCTTTTGTAGGAATATTATATTATAATATTTCTCCCTTTTAGCCAGTTACATGCAAATCCCTTGTGCAGGAAAGGGTTCAAGTAACTATATGGTTAAATTTGTAACAGAGTTTGACCGACCTGCTGACCTCCCTACAAGACCTTATAGATCCTCCCATTTTCTTCTTTTTTCTCCTTTTTTTTTTATGGATTCAGTTTGATATTCTTATTGAAACTGTCTCTCTAATGACACAAACTGATGATTTGCAGTTTTAGAAGTGAGAATCCTTTTTCTGGAACCTCACGGTATCAATGGTTGCCTCAGAGACATGATATTTGCATTTCACAAGTTTCAGTAGCTGCCGATTATTCAGATTCAGTTCCTGATGCTGACTCATCCAATTATGCTAACCACAAAGGCTATCATCCACTTGAGGACGTAAGAGAAAACAAACTGGTTACAGTGCCAACGTCTGCTGAGATTGCAAGGACTGCTGTAGAGGTCTCCTGCTTCAAATATTTATTTGCCAAGCTATATATTGAAATTTGTTTTATGAAAAGTACCCAATTTTGATGAATTTAGCCAAATCTGTTATCAGTCTAGAGCAAGCTCTGATCTCTGCTTTTATCTTAGTCTAACCACAGGGCCATGTTAATATTCCCCCGTGGTGTGCACTGTGAGCCACACGAACAGATCTCGTGGGCTGAATTTCAGTATGTTGTTGATGACTTTGGAGGTTTGTCTTTTCTCAGTTTTTTTGCAGTGCAAGTCTCCTCGACATCAGTTTAATCATGTTGCTTTCTTCATTATAATTCTCCTATTCTGTTCAGATATATGTTTTGAGGTTTATGATGATCAGAACATCTTACAAGACCGTGGAACAGTTAATCCTGTGGTGAGGTTTTAAACTATCATGAAATATTTCGGAATCTTTAGTTTATCTTCCTTCCTCTCAGAAATTGTAGGGGGTATATTATTCTTTTCACTTCTGGCCTATATTCACATTTTTTCGCTCGAAATATAAAATTATTTGCTGTCAAACCATGTATGGCCCCTCAACTCTCATTTACTTTTACTTTGTTCCACCTTACAAGATAGGCTCGTTTAATATTTTCATTTGTCCCACAAATACAACCCCGATTCCTTTAACATATACTAAGTTCCTTTTATGCCTTATTTAATTTGCATCATTATCAACAACAACAACAACATACCCAGTATATTCCCAACAGGTTGGGGTCTGGGGGGTCAGTTGTACGCAGACCTTACCCTTGTAATTATACAAGGAGGCTGTTTCCGTAGCGACCCAAGGTGCATTGTGCCGTTTGATATATATTTTTTTTCTAGAAACTTCACTAATAGAAGAAGCACTAGAATTTAATTGAGTCATTTTGATCTAGTCCATTATTAGCACTATGCCAGGAGAATTGTCAACAATGACTCTTCCAGCTCCATTTGCAATGGACAACAATTTGCATCATTATCAACAAAATAAAATTAAAACACAATCATAATTAATTTAGTGGATATAATAGAAAAATAACTTACGCGAGATGTTTTATTAAACTATGTCAAAAGGTAAAAAAGTATTTGTGGGATGACGAGAGTACAATTTAGCGGAAGTTCCATGAACATCATTTATCCATGTCGTAATTGATATTGTTATATTTTTTTTTCACAACTTTTTTTTTTATTTTCATTTTATGATGATGTAGAACTATGGAGCAAGATTATATTTGTGGGATGAAGAGAGTACAATTTAGTGAAAGTTCCATGAACATCATTTATCCATGTTGTAATTGATGTTATATTGTATTTGTCACACCGTTTTCTTCCCAATTAAAATAGGACTACACCAAGGGTCAACATTGAGCCCTTATTTATTTGCCTTGGTGATGGATGAGGCCACAAGGGACATACAAGGTGATATCCCTTGGTGTATGCTCTTTGCTGATGATGTGGTGCTAGTTGACGAGAGTAGGGCAGGGGTAAATAGGAAGTTAGAGCTGTGGAAGGACACGTTAGAGTCGAAAGGCTTCAGACTTAGTAGGACGAAGATCGAGTACATGACGTGCGCTTTCAGCATGGCTACACATGATGATGGTGATGTTAGCCTCGACGTGCAAGTGGTGGCCAAGAAGGAGATTTTCCGGTATTTAGGATCGATGCTACAAAAGGATGGCGGCATTGATGTTGATGTTAGGCATAGAATTGCAGCCGGTTGGTTGAAATGGCGTCAAGCTTCGGGCGTTGTCTGTGATAAGAGGGTGCCACAAACGCTAAAAGGTAAGTTCTATAGGACGGCGATTCGCCCGGCAATGCTATACGGTGCTGAATGTTGGCCTACAAAAAGGCAACATGTCCAACAACTAAGTGTAGCAGAGATGCGTATGTTGCGTTGGTTCTGCGGGCACACAAGAAAGGGTAGAATCCGGAATGAGGATATTCGAGATAGGGTCGGGGTGGCTCCAATTGAGGAGAAATTGGTTCAACATCGGCTGAGGTGGTTCGGACATGTCCAACGGAGGCCTCCTGATGCACCGGTGCGGGGAGTTCTACAGCGGGTCGATGATGTAAAGAGAGGTAGAGGTCGGCCTAAACTCACTTGGGAAGAGTCGGTTAAGAGAGACCTTAAAGATTGGAATATCTCCAAGGATTTACGGTGGATAGGAGCGCTTGGAGGCTAGCAATCAACGTGCCAGAACCGTGACTTTTGCTCTTTTCTCTTTTGCTCCAATCTCTTCCTTTTGTTTTGAGCCCTTTTTGTGTTTATCTTACCATTGGTTTCTTTTGGGTTTCATCTCTAGCCTACCTCCACTTGCTTGGGACTAAAAGGCTATGTTGTTGTTGTTGTTGTTTGTAGAACTTTGGAGCAAGTTGCTACTAACATCATTTTTCTTCTTCATGATACTAACATTTAGTCTTTTAGGTTTTATCCCTTGTTATTTCTGACAATTCTGTGCTCCAACTATAATATACCTTCTAATTTCTCCACATCTTCATTGCACATAATGTTCATGTCAAAGGACAAAACACCTGAACATATGTTGCTTCCCATAATATAGGTTAAATTTCTAGGTGTAAAGACCTTTTTTTTCTTTTGGCACTCCTTTTAGGACTTTTTAACCGAGCTTGTATGTTTCCAGTGTCCTTAATTAAATTTTGAACGTATCCTATCCTGGTGGCTCTTTCTGGAAAACATGCCTATTTAGGTGCTTTGATTTTATATGGGTTATGTACTAACAGTTTGCAATTTTCAATTTTAGACTGTCTTGATTGGGATGGATATCGCTTGCTATAAGGGCAGGAAGATGGATCTTTATGATGACAACACTGTTGACTTTGACCCTGAAGACGATGTTTTTTTTATTGATGAATATAGTGAAGTGAGAAGTTATATGTTTCTGTTTCTATTTCCTTTACCTATTAGTTCATGAAATAGACTTCTCTCTTAAACTAATACATTTTGCATTAGTCAGATAGAAGACCCTACCAAGACAGACATCTGGGATAATTGGGAAGTACCTGAAAAATCCTCTTCGACTCATCCAGTTTACTTTTCCAAGTGCTTGGCAAAGGTGGCTTAATTTAATCTCTCTCTCTCTCTCTCTCTCTCTCTCTCTCTCTAAGTACCTGAAAATTAGATTCTGAATTTTCCTTGATATAAGAAAGTAGTTAAAATGTATGTTCCATATTTTTCAACTCTAGCATGATGGGATAGCACATAGTAAACTTCCATGTATGAAATTTGAGTGTGTGCGCGACTCAAAGCCCTTTAATTGGAATACTGTAGCGCATTTCTCCAGTTGAATTGAATTGAAATGATGCCAGTTATAGGTCTGGTTTGGATAACAACATTTAAGCTATTCTCACGTCGTTTTGGTGATGATATGAAAGTGTCAACACTAGTGATGTTTAAATTTTGTTATCTACATTTAAATGTCGTTCTTAAAGTGAATAGTAGTTTATGTTCCTATCTAGACATGCTTTAAATAAAATGAAATGGGAATCTTTTCATCAACCCTAGTTGGAGCTGATATGAGCTATAAAGACAAATGTGGATGGTCAGTTTATAGTCAGAAGTTAAACACGGATTCTATGTTTTGGGTAGATTGCAGTAAAGAATGAAGATATATTTCTAAGTTAAGAACAATGACTAGTTAAGCTTATAGAAATGTACTACACTTAACTGATGGATTTCTTAGGATTCTTTGTTTTAGGATTTTAGGTTACAGACTTGTAGGAACTTGACTATATTGATCATATAGTCGTTTTTTAGAATTATTTTCTGTAATTAACTCAGAAGTCAGAAGCAAGCAATGGTGGGAAAATGTTTTGTATTTGCATGATCAAGAAAGAAATGAAGAAAAAACACACATCACACACACACACACACCATAAATAATAAAATAAAAAATAAAAAAACTAAAATTTTTGTGTTAATGGAGAAAAAAACTTAAAATTTCTGTGTCAGATATAAGACATGACATGCTGTTTTTATGCATATTTGTGATATAGGTTGTTTATCGATTTTGAGTATGCAATTTCATATTTCTCAGGCTATTGATGTGGAGCATGTTAAAATGATGGATCACCCATCAAATGGTGTCGTCCTGTGGGGCTTCCTCAGGCCTGTCTATATTGATGAAGAAAATTATATAAAGCGGTTCTTTAAAGATGAAAAGAGTGATGGCTATACCTCAGGCGGCAGTGGTAATTGAGCGTAACTTTTCATTGAAATTAGAACGTAATAAATAATGAGACGATTTTGATGTATGTAATGAATTAGGTACTGCTGATAATGTTGTCTTGTGAGTTGTGAACCCTCATATGCAATTAGTATATATATGTTGCAATTGATAGTTATTTCCTCAACTGCATTACATTTTACCTTGGAAGTTTGGAATGCTCTTCCATCAGTTATGGCATGAATATATATGTTAGCATTTAATATTAGAAACAGTTCTTTAAATTAAACCCGAATATTGAAAGGACACACAAAATCTGTATAAATTACAGACCTCTAAAAAAGACAAAGTGCATCCCATTATGCACAAGCCTATAAGAAGTTCTACAAATTTTGGTTAATATTCATCTTTCGGATGCCACAATTTATTTGGAACCATGCAAACTGAGCCACAGATAAAACTATTGATTCCAGGTCTTAATCGAAACCACTTTATTGTCTTCACATGAATGAGTCCATGCATAAAGCTTTATGATTCAGCAGCACATATTCAGAGCACTATGCATCATAATTTCTCGGATTCTGTGTGAAACAAATCATTATTTGTATTTTCTCTATCTTAGCTTATTTCATCATCATCATGATTATTATTATTATTTTTATTATTTGCCCTTTTTGTGTTTTAAATGTCTTTTGATGTTCCATAGTGGTGGTTTGCCTTCTTATTTAACCTTTAAATTTAAATGAAGTTGGTTTTCACAGATGGAAATAGTGCGAGCTTCAGTGTGGACGACAAAAATTGCTGTAGATCAACTATTTACAGACTGGAAATCGCAAAAATCGAGTTATTCTCAGTCTATGGTGTTCAGGCATGTATGCTTTCAAGTTTTAGGTTTTCTTTGATCACACTATCATTTTTTGCATTGTGTATAAGTTGGATTATGCCCTGAAAAGCTCTCAAGCAATCACAATAGTTCATGACTGATGCGTTACATTGTTCTCTTACTGTAGGTTGTGTGATTAGCCTCAGTTTACTGACATTTTCCTTTGTCTTCTGTTTTCTGAATAATGGTCTTTTTCTAACTTAAACATTGAGTGGATTGCAAAACTGAAATTATTTGGGGTGCTCTGTTAAAGGGAATTCAGTAGTCAGCCATTTTTTTCTCATATTAGAACGACGTCATGTCAGCCTGCTTGACTGGTCTTATGTCACTAATTTCACTTATGGTATTTTGTGCAGTCAGTTGTTAGCGTGCAGGATTTTCAATATGCTGAACCTGATGTTCTTGTGCATTCCGTCCCATCAATTCTAAAGCGCTTTGACAGGACTGGATCAAGGTGCAATGTTGCCCTTAAAGATTTTTGCAGAAAAAAAGGACTTTATGTTGAGGTAATATTTAATGTGAGTCAGTGTCCATTTAAGTATACGTGCCCTAATTTGCTGCTGTCATTGATATTCATAGGTTATTTTGGAAATGGTAAATTGCAGGCGTTCAAACTCTTATGTAATGATTTCTATTTTGTTTCGATTCACTAAGAAATATTACAAAGAATTATAGCTCTCCTATTTGGTAAAGAATTTTATCTAGACTGTTCTGCTTCCTACCCTGTCCATTGCAAATGGAGCTGGAAGAGTCATTGTTGACAATTCTCCTGGCATAGTGCTAATAATAGACTAGATCAAAATGACTCAATTAAATTCTAGTGCTTCTTCTATTAGTGAAGTTTCTAGAAAAAATATATCAAACGGCGCAATGCACCTTGGGTCGCTACGGAAACAGCCTCCTTGTATAATCAAAATGGTAGCAATGCACCTTGCGTACAACTGACCCCTCAGACCCCAACCTGTTGGGAATATACTGGGTATGTTGTTGTTGTTCTGCTTCCTACCATGTCGACTTAATTTTGGAGCCCGAAAGATCCCATTGTTATAATTTTAATTAAAGAACGCAATATCTTGGACATTTAAAAGCTTTTTAAGCATAAATCAGTTATGCCTAAATCTAGAGATAAGTTGATGACATTTTTCTTATTGTAAATATCACGCTCGTGTACTTATTTAGAAAGTGCTTATTGAATGGATAGTTTATTGGGTAGATATGATCGTGGTAGTAGCACTGATGTCTTTGTTCATTTAGAAAGCAGAATAATCTCTCATAGTAAAAGTACAAATATATGGAACGAAATGGTGTTCCAAGCACAAGCAAATTTATTACAGTATTTAAGAGGTCCCTTATCAATCATCTATAATATAGTCTTAATTTCTTGTATGACATACATTTTTCCATCTTCGAAACAATAGTTCATTGATACCTCAAACCAAAAGTTTCGTAGTTATTTAATGTTTGACGGTTTACTTTACATTAAAACAAATTAATATAAATTTTAAATTTTTCATGCAACTCCAAGCTACCACTGTTCATAAATTGTGTTTAGTAGTACTTTATTAATAATTTACCTTTCATGGCCTTGAATCACCGCCTAGGAAGTTTAGCTTATGTACCCTAAATTATCTCTCCTTTTCCCCTGTTATTTTATTCAGTTGATTTTGACATTTTTGATTCGTTGAAGGGGTTTAATTTCCATATAACAGAACCTAAAATGTAGAATTTCCATTTGATGTGATGATTCTAATTTTCTTTTTTTCTTTTTTTCTTTTAGATAATTTTTTAAGGAAAAGATTAATAAACTTAATATAGATTCCTATATCCTGTTTGGCATCGAACTGGAGCTCATCCATGATCAATGTTTTTATCGGCAGTGGTATCTTTGAGCCTTTCCTGAGCAAATGCTCTAAAGTTTTGGTTTCGATGGTTTTACCAGAGTTTAATCACGACGTATCTATTGACAAGAACCAGAATATCCTGTTTGTTTTTGAATTAGCACGTAAGTTCCAACCTTCACAGACGTGGTTATTCTCGCATGAAGCCTCTTTTACTTGAGAATGACTAGATTTTAACTGTTTAAGGAGGTTATGTTATGCAAACAATGAAAATAAATGAATTTGCTTACTTTTTCTTTCACCTAGAAGCGGACTATCACTTGTTTTTATTGCTTGCACAGTTGAACCTCTGACAAAGTTGCACATTCTTTTGTAGAGAGCAAATTTGATTGGAGTCGACAGCCTTGGCATTGACGTTAGAGTTTCTACTGGAACAGAAGTATGCACTCATCGGTTTTCTTTCAAAGTTCGGGTTAGTGAAAAGCATTTTTTTTTTTTTTTTTTTTTTTTTNTTCTTTTTTTTTTTTTTTTTTTTTTTTTTAACGTAACTTGCCATGTACTCTAAATATCGTGAGTCACAAAGTTTAATATTTGTTGTATTTGCTTCGTACTTGAATGTCTTATGTTGTCTGGCTCTATAGATATAGTCACACGAGTTGTTATGGCCTCCTGCAGGCGAATTCTGATTGTGCTGCGGACAAACAGATACAGCAACTTTTGTTCCCTAAGTCGAAGCGGAAAAGGTCAAGGACGCTTGATACACCTACAGAGGTTGACTCATTTTGATGAACATTTTTTTTTTATATTTTCTTTTTTCTCTTTTTTGTTGTTAGCCCCAACCCCAAATTATTAAGAGTGATACGAGTCTAATAGTTGGGAAGGCCTCCCCTCTTTCGTTTCCTCTTTGTAGCTCCTACATTGTTTGATTTGACCATTAAAGTAATTGTGTAATTAGAGATGTTCAAGCGATCAACTAGGCTTCAACATGGAGTGCTAGGCTGTTAAATAGTTAGTTATTGTGAATGCTACTAAACAAGTAAGTGTTGTTGCTGAAGTCAAGCCTAATGTAGTTGCCATTGTTGAACTTGTGTCCTTATTTGGACTGGCGATAGGAAGGAACAAACTACCGAGTAAAATTGGTAATTATGGATAATTGACATGGTATTAGATTAAAAATAAACAACCTTAAAACATGATAGTTCAAGTTCCATTTCTCATCTTCTAAATGAGTAATTATATGGATTCAGAATTATATAGTCCTTAATTCCTTTATCTTTTTAATCACTTGTTTCAACTTGTTAGAGTGAGGGAGATGTCAAAAAATCCATCTAACATTGTTATATTTTCTCACAAAATTCATTCTCATTTTTTCTCCTTATCATCTCAATATTTTCTCACAATCTCAGTAATATAATTTAAGTTAAATGTATTATTAACATACATTTGTAATAATTAAAAAAAAAACATTGTTTTTTAGTACATATTTCTAACCATCATTCTTATTCAATAATATTCAAATGTTTCTATATATATATATATATAGGGGATGGTTCCAATAGGTCCCCCTCTTAAAATGTGGACGTGAGACCCAATCTCAACCGTTGAATCTGCCTTTTAAATCTACGGTCAGCATCAGGTATATATATAATTATAAAATCACGAGCTGAAAAATCACAAACCTTCAGCTCGCGCGCACACAAAATCGGAAACAATATCTCAGATTTCCTCCTCAATCACGATTCTCTGCAAATTCTTTCTCAATCTCGATTTCCTTATCAATTTGAAGTTCGATTTCATCGTCTGATTAGGTTTAACTCTCGTTTTCTATAGGCAAACTCAACTGCTCGTCAAAAATATCCAGGGAAAAAAAAAATTCAACTGCAAATTTATCTACAAATGTCGACGGAAGCAGCTTCAATGGAGATCGAAGCAACTCCAGTTGCGCCATTAATGGAAGAAGGTATACTGAATTTAAATAAAATAGTTGCTGATGGAAAATATTGATTTACTCTATTTATAACTTTAAATAAAATAGTTGCTGATGAATGAAAATCGAGTTATTCAATTAGAATCAATCACGTGATATTGAAAAAATTGTTCGTGCTTATCTGCAATTTTGATTTTTGTAGAATCTCTGTTTTCTGGCAAGAATATTATATAATTGTTCGTGCTTATCTGCAATGTTTTCTGTTTTTGTAGAATCTCTGTTTTCTGACAATTGACCTAGCTGAGAGAAGTAACCTAGCAGCATGAGAGAACTAACCTAGCAGCATGAGAGAAGTAACCTAGCAGCATGAGNG